TGCTGCTGCGCCCATCCAATGGCGTCTGGCCTCTGGCTTCCTTGGGTTTACCGAGTCGGAGCTGCAGGGTTTTAAAAATGGCGCCCACGATGGTGTCTGTCTTAAAGGGGCAGCCTCCTTTTAAAAAAAAAAAATTTTTTTGTTATTGCTCGACAATTCTATTCGGGGGGGGGGGGCTTTTTTTGTTTTTGTTGTGTTTTGTTGTTTTGTTTTTGTTTTGTTTGACAATTCTGGTGCAGCTCTTAGCATTTTTTCTGCTGCTGTTTTGGCTCTCTTTGTTAAATAGGTTGGCCACCCCTGCTCTAGAGCTTCATGTATTTTGAAGTAGTAGCTAAGAATAAAAATGGTTAGTCTGGTATAACTTAAAGTCTGATCTTCATCTAGTGTAGGCTTTATTGATGTAAGTGGAGTTATGCCCATTTATATCCTCTGAAGAGCTCTCTCTTTTTAATGGTAATTATATAAAAATAGAAATGTAAAGGTTTTTTTCCTCTATATTTTTAAACACATTGTTGAATCAGACTAAATTTTATTCAAAGATTTATTACCTATATTCATCACGTGCAGTTTTTTTCTTTACGGTTCTGAAATGTAATGAAACATTTTTCCATTGTTATTTGCGATTATAGAAGAAAATACACTTAAGACTGTAGATATGGAAAAACAAACAATCTTATTAATTTTACATTACTGTGTGGTGCCTTGAGATTCAGGCATTTTACAATATTCTTAGTCATGTTCTTTGGAATTTTGCTACTAATCTGAAGTTATACGCTAGGCTTGACATTTTGAAAGTTCTTCAGGATGTCATGATATGAATTTGTTCTTTTATATAGTTTCTGCATATGAAATCAGGTCTCACGCACACTTGTTCTGTAACTACCTTTTTAACAATTGCTTTAATAGGTTTAATATGCAGATTTCCTGAAGAAGACTACGAATCATTCCCATTACCAGAATCAGTGCCTCTCTTTTGTCTACCCATGGGTGCAACTATTGAGTGTTGGCCATCTAATAGTAAATACTCCTTTCCAGTTTTTTCTACATTTGTACTAACTGGAGCTTCAGCTGAGAAGGTATTGAAAAAGTTTTCAAATACTAAACTTGAGATTTTTTTTGTAACCTTGAAGAGTTAATGCTCAGAAAAGAGCAGACTATAAGTGCAAGAAAATTACATTAATAACATTGAAATATTTTGCTATACAGTTTGACATGTTATAAACACATTCACACAGTTAAGAAAAAAAAACTAGGGCTGTCAATTGACATGCATTAACACCCGCGATTAACGCAGTCCAGGATTAATGAGTTACATTTTTAACGTGTTAATCACAGGCATTAATGCTGGGCTGCCCCTTTGAAGTGCCTCTGTGGACTCCCCAGCTGACCCTGGGCTCCACTGTCTCTTTGAAATGTGCAGAGGCAGCATTTCAAAGGGGCAGCCATCTCACAGCTGACCTGGGGAATTCCCATCTGATCTGGGTTCTGCGCTGCATTTTCCCCAGAACCTGGGATCATCTGGGGAGTCCCGGGGCAGCCCTGAAGCCCAGGGGCAGCTGGGGAGTCCCCAGCTGATCCTGAGCTCTGCAGGGCAGCAGAACTTGGGGTCAGCTGGGGACTCCCTTGCTTATTCCGGGCTCTGCGTGGCATTTCCCCAGAACCTGGAGTCAGCTGGGGGGCCCAAGAGAAGCTGGGAACCCGGAGAGCCCAGGATAAGCTGGAAGCCCCCAGCTGACCCCGAGTTCCACTGGGAACTGCTGACCATGGTCTCCACGGCAGCTGCCCCTTTGAAACATCAGCGGTGGCGTTTTAAAGTGGCAGATGTGGAGCCTGGGGTCAGCTGGGGACTCTTAGCTGATCCTAGGCTCCCCATGGCAGTGAAGCCCAGGGTTGGCTGGGGACTCCCCAGCTGGCCCCGGGTTGTGGGGAAATGCCGCGCAGAGCCCAGGATCAGATGGGGAGTCCTCAGCTGACCCCAGGCTCCATGTCTGCCCCTTTGAAATGCTGCTTTGGGGTTTCAGTGCGGCTGTGCGGTGCTGCCACTTTGAAGTACCCCTTTCCCCCACCTCCCTTTGCTGCCTCTATCTGATAGAAGCAGCAAGGGGGGGACGGGATCGACTAGTTCACTAGTTGACTATTCTTTAACTTCCCTACCCGGGATCAACTGGGCACTCTATCTAATCCTGAGCACCTAATGTGCTGCCCCTTTGAGGCGCCGGGGTGGAGTTTCAATGGGACAGCGCTGCATGGAGCCCGGGGTCAGCTGGGGACTCTAGCTGACCCCAGGCTCCATGCAGTGCTGCCGTGGTGGCATTTCAAAGGGGAGGTGCACGCAATTAATTGCGTGATTAATCACGATTAAATTTTTTTAATCGCTTGACTGCCCTAAAAAAAACCCTTTGGATCCTGTTGTTTAATGGCTTTCACTGAAAGACTATTAACACGGTGGATCTTTCTGTTATCTTCAGTGGGTTCAGGGCCAGTCCCTAATCCAAAATACCCTTTCTTCCCCTTTTTCCGATTACCTTAGTGTGTGAAATCAGAAATCTAAAAGAGAGTAAAGTAAATTTTCATAAATGCAGTGTGGATTTTCATATTGTAAGCATGGGAACAGTCATCTTGTTTCCATGCATGTATTTCTCACATAATGTAAGATGGATTTCAGGAGGGCTTTATTGAAGAGTTGTATCTACTGCTTTGAGTTGCTTATAGAGCACCCCCAAAAGTAGTTGAAATGGCAGCTATAGAGACAGCTGTACTCTGTACCTTTTATTTCCTTGTCTGCCTTAAGAATAGTTGTGTTAACTTGTCTTTTTCATATCTGGCTTTATATTGTTTTTTAAAATTATTTTGAAAGGGTGTGGTTTATATGTGATCATAATATTTTGAAAGAAATTTCAGAAGATACATTTGTTTAGGCAGATGTACATAGCTGTAATCAAATATATTATTGTTTGCAGGTATATGGTGCTGCTATTCAATTCTATGAACCATATCCTGAGGAGAATCTCACAGAAAAACAGAAATCTCAGTTAGGGCTAGTGGCTACTGGAGATGGGAAGTCAGATAACTCCAAAACAGTTCAGACTAACAAATGCATTTGTCTACTCTCCCACTGGCCTTTTTTTGATGCTTTCAAGAAGTTTCTTACCTTTCTTTATCGTTACTCCATCTCGGGTCCTCATGTCCTGCCTATTGAAAAGTAAGTTATTTCATCGTTAAATTCTTGCTGATAATTCAAGTTGTTGTGAATTCTTTGTGTTACTTTGATAATTGACTGACTTTCTGATATATTATTTTGTGTTTAATTCTCAATTCTGCTGCTATTTTGATGACTCAAATGTTCATTTTCCCATGGATAAACTTACCTCTTGGATGTACTTTTGCTTTAAATACCTGTTTTTCTTTCTAAAATGTATTTTATCTCCTTTCCATGTACCACTTAAGCCATTCATTTCTTTTTAAGATTGTATAAGTGACTCCAGGATCTTTAAACATTTTGTTTAAGAGAACAAAGATTATAAACACTTCATCAGATGCAGTGGGTCAAAAAGATTATAAAAATGCCCAGTTGCATGTGTGTTCAGAGATGATAAAGGAGTTAGTTTTATAATAAAATCTTTGTCCCTTTGCAGTGAGTAATTTATTGAACTGAATTTTAACACAAGTGAGAATAGTCCTTTAGCTGTTTATAGGGAGACATATCACACTTTATCCAAAGAGTAATATCTATAATCTGAATGAAGAATAAGGCTTGATACACACAAGTTTTGTACCTTTGGCCACATTAGTCATTGGTGTGAAAAAAACACACCCTTGACTGACAGTCTCCAGTGTAGACATGCCTATGTCAATGGCAAAAGGCTTCTGTTGACCTAGCTAATAACTTTTGTGAGGTGGGTGTTCCTACACCAACCAAAAAACTTCCTTCTGTCAGTGCAGGCTGCATCTGCATGAGGGGGCTATGCCAGCATGTCTGTGCTGAAATAGCAACCATAGGCTAGCATGTATGGGATACCTCTAAGCTAGGTGACGTTTATAGCACAACTTCAAATCAGGTGTCTGTTTTGATATTTTTTTATGACTGACAGATTTTTAAATTCAGTTTAGTTGTAGCTATGTCAGGGTGTGTCTAGACTACAGGGTTTTTTGGAAAAATGTGGCCTCTTTTCGAAAAATCTTCCCCTGCGTCTAGACTGCTACCGTGTTCTTTCAAAAGTAAATCGAAAAGGTGGCAGATTTTTTTTACCACGGAAAACCTCATTTTACGAGGAAGAATGCCTTTTTTCGAAAGTGCGCTTTCGAAAAAAGGCGCTATGTAATGCAAACTATGCTTTTTCGAAAGAGAGCAACCAGACTGCCTGGGTACTCTCTTTCGAAAAGGTGGGTTGCTTTTTTGAAAGTACTGGTTGTAGTCTATACACTCTTTTTCTAAAGAGGCTTGCAGTCTAGACGTAGTCTCAGTCCTAGGATATTCGAGACAAGGTGGGCAAGGTAATATCTTTTATTAGACCAGCTATATTGGCCCAAGCTTTCAAAAACTTGTCTCTTTCACCAAGAAAAGTAGGCCCAGTAAAAGGTATTACTTCACCCACCTTGTCTCTAAGATTTTTAAAGGTATTTAGACATTGTTCCTCTCAGCATTGCAATATCAACTGACTTAGGCTCTGAAATTGTATTTTCAAAAGTGACTTGGGCACTCAGTCTCTTTTGCTCTCAACTGCATTAGTTGGTTTTGCAAATAATCTTAGTGTGTTTCATCAGTTGGGTGTTGCAGTATTGAGAGAACAATGCAAATACCTTTAAAATCTATGACTGCATTCACACTATATTTTTTTCCAATGAAACTTCACTAGGGGCCTGCCCTCCCTGCTCACTACACTTGGCAACTCCCCTCTCTCTGGGAGGCAGGGTGTCCGGCCAGGGGGAAGGTTGCAAGAGCAGGGGAGCATGTAGGTGCAAGCTGGGGGTAAGTGGCTGGCCAGGGAGGAGTGGGTAGGAGCAGGCTGGGGATAGGTGTCTGGCCAAGGGGGAGCGGGCAGGAGCAAGCTGGGAGTGTGGGGTCTCAGTGGAAAGGGGTAAGTGAGGGGGGTAGGGTTGCAGGGTCTCAACAGGGTAGTGAGTGAGGCAGCTGGGGTGTGGAGTCTCAGGATCGGGGGAGGGTATGAGTAAGTGTGCTAGGGGTGTGGGGTCTTGGCTAAGGGAGCGTGTGAGGGGGCTGAGGGTGCAGGGTCTTAGCTGAGGGGGTGTTTTATAGGGCTCAGGCAGAAGGCATGTGGCTTGCGGCTCCCTTCCTCTCCCCCCCACCTGGAGTACCGGCGAAGGCACACGGCTTCCTGCCTCCCCTCCACAAGGGAGCACATGACTCCTGAGGATCTCCCCTGCAAAGGAGGAGAGCGCCTGGCACCAGGGAGGGAGGGAGGAGTCAGGGCGGCTGAGGGCAGAGGGAGCGGTGGGACACAGAGTAACATGATGATGTCACTCTGTGATCCCTCAAGCTTGTGCACATGCATGCGCGCGCGCGCACACACACACACCCCCCTCTTAATGTAAATTTATTTCTCACAGTTTAGGGAACCTGCGCCTATCTTTCCTCTTTGGTCTCTTGAGGGCACTCGGGTTTCTGTCTGAGGTGGAGATCCATGTCTCTCCTTCCTGACTGGGGCTTTTAAGGATATACACCTCTCTGCTACACTGTGATAATTCCAGCAAGCCAGTTTATCTACAAGCCAGTACCTCCGCTTTGCTTTCCCTGAGGAAGCTATTAATAGTATTGCTAGCTCTTAAAAGTTACCACACAGCTCTTTCTAGGCAAATACATTTATTCTTAAAGTAAAATCATTACAGAAAATATGTAACAACAGTAAACAGACTAAAATATACACTAAACCTAACAGTCACCCATCTGTCTTAACAGGTCCTAGTAGCCAAAGTCTTTGCAACAGGTCTGCCAAAGCTGGAGCCCCGCTTCGGCAGAAGGACCTACCTGTCTGTTTACTAGATCAGAGAGAAAGCCCAGTGGAAGTGTTTTTTATGCCAAAATCCATTTCTTTGTGTTAGCCTCGGAAAACTTGATTTGAACCATTATATGCAAGCCTTCCCAGGTAGTGGTGCCTCTCTGAAGGCATTTACACCCTGAGTCCATCACCTTAATCCCCAATCCTCTCGTTTTTAGTACCTTAGGAGATAGGGCAGGCTCCCCCCACCATGGAGCAGAACAAAATTCTACAAAAACCCTTCATAACCACAAGACAGTGTGACCCCGAAGATTCCATGGGATTGTGACCCCGAAGATTACAATGTCTGTCACAATCTCTTATTACAGATGGTGATAGTAGTGTTTTTCTTCTACCATCTTTACGCTATTTTTTGGAGTACTATATTAGATGTATTTCTCTTTAGATGCTCAAAATATATAGAGGTTAACTAGCAAACTGCACCCTATGCTCGCCAGGCCCCCTCTCTCTGGCCACTTTTGCAGCCAGAGAACGTGAGAACATGATGACATCATTCTGTCGCCTGTCAGGAAAAACTTTCTAGAGAGAGATAATTCCTTAAATGATATTTATTCCATACCACTAATTTTATTTTTCAAGTAATATTTGGCATAATGTGAAGGGTTATATTTTATGTTTTAATACAATTTAGTAGTTTGGGGTTTGGAGGATGAAGCGACTAGGGGCCAGTCAACATTTTACTTACTTTGATGGCTGAGGTTGAAATGCATGTGATCTGTCAATTTAATGTTCTCCAGTTCAACATTGTGTTACACTTTTTGCACAACTTAGCCTGTTTATTACCTGTATATATTTAGCCTAATTTATTTGGCTATTTAAGTTTTGTTGAAGGAAAATGTGTTTCCACGTGATACATACATCCATTTAAATAAGTTTAGCACAGTTTCACAAGGTGGGGAGGAACTCATTGTTCAGTATTCTGCAGCGTTTATTCATTTACCCATTGTAGATTTGCATGTGGAAAATATGAGGGACTCCTTTTGCAAAGCAATATAAGAATTAATGTTGTAGATATATGTACTTGGAGGGCTTTCTAAAATTCTCCCATCATTCTTCCAGTATGGAGAGGAATGAATCTATTCCAAGTATTTTTGTGAAATACATAAATCTCTTATATGATCTTTCAGAATTTTCTATTGACATTTTGAACAATTTGCATGATTATAAAGTAGTTTTCTTTTACAGTTTAAAAAAATAGATTTATAGCCATACATTTAATACTACAATGTGAATGAGCTGTAATATTCTACTTATTTTTGTTTTCTGTCACTGATCGTTGGGTACAGTTTGTTTCTGAAAGTTTGAAGATAAGCAGTTCATTAACCTCATGGTTTTACCTAATGTTACTGTGCAAGGATCATTGGCAAATGGTGTTACAGAGTAAATATACTAAAACTATGACATTGGAATCTAGTTAGTTTGTAAGGTTGCCAATTTTGGTACAATGTCTTTCTGGAGGTTTCATCATGTGACATCTTTAAAGATTAATCTTTAATTTCTGGAGGCTGCAGGACAATCCTGCAGGGTTGGCAATAGTTCTAGTCTTTTGAAAAGTGACTATATAAAAATGACAATATGTGTTTCAAGATTAGATAGTTTTAGTTTATAAATGGAAAGATTTTTGTAATTGCTAGTTTGCAGACTCAGCTCTGGAGTCTGAAAGATAATTCAGGCCAAATTACACCCTCTGGGATACTTGTGCGACCCCATTGCCTTCATGGACTTGCACAAGTATAAGAGTTTTTGTTTGGTTTGAATTTTATAACCAGGTGTATTGATTTCCAAGAACGAATTAATACAAGAGCTTTCATTTCATAAATGTGTTAAAATACCTTAACAATCAGGATATAATTAGAACCTACTTCTCTCTCTTGACTGTTGGCTCTGTAGTACTGTACTAACTATGACAGCAGTTTATGTTAGTGATTAAAATAAGCAAATGTGGCTGAATAAATTCTGGGAGCCAATTTACTGAACAATATTGTGCCATTTTTATATGGCCACTTTTCATGTCGCCTACAATAAGCACTTGAGGTGATGTACAGCATTTCACAAACCGTTTTCAAGCTGTGAATTCAATTATGTTTAAAGTCAGTATTCTCTTTTTCTTCAGACATATTTCCCATTTTATGCACAAAGTTCCTTTTCCATCTCCTCAGAGGCCAAGAATTTTAGTTCAGGTAACTTTAAAATTTTTCTTACCTATATGCAGTATCGTTCATATTGTACAGCTGCTCGTATGTGAAAATGTAGTATGGTTTTATTTAAATATTCATATAAAAATAAAAACGACCTACAGCTAAATTCACAAATATTTCACACTTAGATAAATCTGATGTTCCGTGCTTCCAGTTTAATTTAGGTTTATAATAAAACATTTTCTTAGGCATTATATTTCAAAGGGTATATCTAATTTTACACTTAAAAAAAACAAACCTTATGTATTTGTTAAGGGGTAAATTCCAGAAAGCCAGCGCAGCTGTGGGAATCCTTCATAGTTCTTGAAATATTTTCCTCTTTTTATTGTATTCATCTTAAACAAAAATGAGATGTTGTAGGTTAGGGATGTGAATGGTTAACCAGTGGGGGCTGCTCCAGCCCCACAGGCCCTGCCACAGGAGAGGGGAGGTTGTTTATGGTGGGCCTGGCTTTGGTATGCCTTTGCTCCTGGTGGGAGGGCTGCCACCCACCCCTGTTTAATCCATTAACCAGTTAAACATAGCTGGCTAACTAATTAAATGGGATTTTCCATCCCTACTGTAGGTTATCCCTCTGGAGTACTACTTTTTTAAAAGGGCTTCATTCTGTCCTCTGTGTGTATGTGGTAACCACTGAAGTCTCCCAAGAGTGCTGCACATTCAAGAGTCACAATTTATGAAACATATGACCCTTATTGTCTGCTCATGTAAAGGAATCTATACTATGTCCAGCTTATAAAAATGGCACAAGAATTGGACTTTTAATTAAAAATTTATTCTGTTCAATTGTATGCAGAGTTGGTGGGGATAAGGGAACTTCTAATGAAGGACTTTGTGAGAGACTTATGATTCAGTTTCCTGATTTGGTTGCACCCTGTTCGAAAAGAAAGTCAGACTGGATAAAAACATGTTAGGTTAGAAACTTAGAGCAATGAACAGATGCTTATTTCATAGCCATACAACAAAAATTAGTGGAATAAGTTCTGCTGTTCTGACCAAGTTACAAATGGTATATGACAGGGTTGGGCAAAATCCAACCCGCAGGCCATATTTGCCTGCCAAGCATTTCTCCCTGGCCCGCCAAGCTTATTAGCAGAGTGTGCATACTTACAGGCGGCAGCCTGTGTTCAACTGCCCCTCCCCGCATCTTGGGGGGTGGAGGGGAGAGGGGAGTGCTGAAGTCGAGGTAAGGGAGAAACACAGTGGAGCTGCTCCAATCTGAAGCATTGATGGTAAGTGACTCAGAGGAGTGCCTGTCTTAAGAGGCAGTGCATTGTTGCTAACATTTCAATGCTGTTTCTTTCTCTCTGTCTCACTTTCCCTCATACCTCATCTCTGTAGCGCGCGTGAGGGAGGAAACAACGGAGCAGGACAGCTTTCCCTGTCTTAAAGAGACAGAGTATGGCTTCTCTTAGAAACTTACCCAACAGCCACAACACTCACACTCACACAGTCAGTGTTACAAACACACTGCCACTGTGTGAGAGACAGACTTCATGATACAGATTGTATATGGCACAGAAATCTCTGTGTCATATACAATCTGTATCATGAAGTCTGTCTCTCACACAGTGGCAGTGTGTTTGTAACACTGACTGTGTGAGTGTGAGTGTTGTGGCTGTTGGGTAAGTTTCTAAGAGAAGCCATACTCTGTCTCTTTAAGACAACTGGTTAAAATTGAGATTTAACCCGTTAAATGATGAGTCAGGATTTTACATCCCTACTCACACCACCAACCCCTGAAGGGGCTGGAACAGCCCTTTGCCTGTGGTGGGCCATGGGCAGGGGGGCTGCTACCAGATACAGTTCACATCCCTCGGTGTGGGACCATACATACACATTACAGCTACCTTAGTGTACATGATGCCTTAGATGTATGCAAAAGGTCAGGTACATATCAATTTAGTACAAGTAGCAAAATCAGCTTTAATAAAAATTACTACTACTGACCATATCCTTACAAGATGTCTGATGAAGGACATCAGTGAAGTTACTCCAGGTGTACATTGGTGTTACAGAGATCTCTAACATTGTCAGGAAAAATTATCTATAACCTGAAAGATTATTTTAAGTCTTTTGACTAAGTAGCTGTTTAGCCTTGCAGATTGTTATTTCAATGTGTCAGTGTGGATCCCTCTGTATGTGGCATGCATATAAGACTGGAAATTCTTCTTTGAGTGATTGCACATGTGCATTTTATTCTGGGTCTGCACACACTCATTCAGGGTGGCTTGAGCATGCTGTGCTGGTACATGCCGATTTAAAGGGCCAACCTGACTCAGAATCCCCTCCGTTCCTTCTTACCGCCCAGGATAGTCATTAGAATTGTTTGGCTTCGCTTAGCAATTGCTTTCAGCGTGCTTGTTGTAAATTTCTTGTAAAGACAGGTTGAACCTCTCTAGTCTGCATGCATGATTTTAGTTAGCCAGATGTCCACTTATCATGGATGTGGCCAAGTTTCCCAGGTCCCTTAAAGTTTGTTTTCAGACATCAGTTCCAGTTCTCAGGGTTCTGTGCTGTTGTTTGGCTCTAATTTACCCCTCTTCTAAGAGCCTAGTAATCAATGGAAACATCCTGTATTTTGCTTCAGCTACACCAGACTAACACGGCTACATTTCTATCACTATTGGTAATGCTGTTAGACAATATTGACCTCCCATGGTCTGGCAAATTCTTTGGTTCAACACCAGTCAGTTACTGAGGGTGCAGACTAAAGAGGTTCAATCTGTAATTATCTAGTTTTATAGTTACTTACTAAGTGTAAAATTTAGTTTTCTTTTTTGTTTCCATTTCTTGATATCATGGGATGCCTCGGTCACCGGGCTGCAAGCCTGAATATTTTGCTCTAGACCCACACTCAAATTGCTTAAATGTTTGACTGTTGTGCAATTTCTGTTATTTTTTTTATTTTGGACCTTAAAAATATTTATATACAAATCCTTTTTTATAGCTATCACCACATGATAACTTGATTCTTAGTCAGCCGGTGTCATCACCTCTACCACTGAGGCAAGTAGAACTGTTCTGTTTTTAATTGTGAAACATACCTTGACACAATGGTGACATGAAGATTTATAGCTTGGAAATATGAAATAATTTTAGCAGTCTACTATATTTTGTAATTGACGTATCTGGCAGTAACTTGATTTCTTTCTTTGTTTTTAAACCAATTGGCCTTTTTATAAAGGCATGAATTTTAGGTCTTTGTATTTTATAACTGTGTAGATTGAACCTCTCTAGTCTGGCATTCCCTAGTCTAGCAACATCAGTGGACCAGCATAATTTCAGTTAACCAGATATCCACTTATCATGTACCCATAAAGTTTGTTTACAGCCACCAGTCCTGGCTCAGAGTTCTGTGCTGCTATTTAGCTCGAATTTCCACATCTTCTACGAGCTCAGTAAGTGGAGGAAGTGTTGGTAATGCTACTACACAATATTCGGCGAATTCTCTGGTTTGGCATTGATCAAATCCCAAGAGTACTGGATTAGAGAGGTTCAACCTCCTATCTAAAATAGTGTAAGTCACTCTTGCAACAGTAACATAAAGGTGTTTTGGTATTTCATATTTAATCTTTCTCTCAAGATAGTTTGCCTTTGAGATTTTTTTTAAAAAAAAGGTCCATATAGCTTATGAAAATCATATGCAATATATATATATATATAAATTGTGGAAATTCTAAAAAAAAAAGTCCATATATCTTATGACAATCATATGCAATATATATATATAAATTGTGGAAATTCTCGGTAGTGACTCCATAGGCCATGTCTTCATTTGCAGTGCCAGAGATTGATCCTCTGGCATTTGATTTAGTAGGTCTAGTTAAGGCCCACTAAATTGACTGCTGAGAGAAGCTCCAATATTCCTTGCAGTTGCAAGGAGTAAGGGAAGCCAACGGGAGTGTTTGATCCCCTTGGCTTCCTATGTGAAGACGGCACCAAGCTTGGCTTATGTATTTTATGTGACTGGAATTGCATACCTTAACCTGACCTTCCAAGTCTAGTGTAGACCTGGCCATAGTTGAGCTAGAGTTCTTAAATGGGCTTAGCTTTGGGCATAAGATCCTGATTTAGTCAAAACGTTATGTGGCCAATCACTGCGAAAAGAACACAGAAGGTTAGTTTAAGTCTTCCTACCTGATGGTGTCCTTTGCAATCCTAGCTTTTTGGTTTTTACCTCAAAACTTTATAGAGAGCTGGATTCTGAGGATTGTCTATAGACTTTAGTTTTATTTGTAGTTTTAAAAAAAATCTTGGATGTAGGACCATTATTTAGCTATTCCTTATTGTTGTAATAGAAAGTCTGTGCTATGTGCTCAAACCTGACTGACAGGGAGCCATGTAATTACACGCCTGTTTGATAGTGAGTCAGGCACTTTACTTTTCTGTCAGATTTTATCCTACAACAAAAGTGGACTTGTGCGCAGTTGCTCACAGATACAATATTTTCTATCCGCAGCTGCATTTTGGTCCCCCTCATAGCTTTGTATCGAATATCCCCAACTACTGGTGTTGGAGGAATAATCTGGTGAAATGGTGTGTACAGAAGGAGCAAAATGAAATAGAGTTCAGGCTGCAAAGAATGGTCTGTGTTATAGCGGCAGTACTGGTAAAGATGTTTACTTTGGGGTGGAGAAGTAGAGTGTATATACTCAGGTAGCTTAACTTTTCAGTTGTGTGCTTTTGTGAGTTTATGTCCAGTAAACTCTTGCTGTCAAGTAAATGTTTGTATGTGAACCCTAACTGCTTCACAACCAAGTTAATACATATAACTATTTCATATATTTATTTTTATATAATGGAAATTTTTTTGCTAAATATTAATTTAAACAAAAATGCTCCCATATTTTCAATGCAAAGAATAAAGATGCTATTAATATTGAATATTAATTGACATAAAGAAATTATTTGGGACTGGCAGGGATTGAGATATATATATTGTTGTGTAATCCACGAAGATCAGTTAGCAATGTGATAACTTTCTTTCTGATCAAATAGCATTCACATAATAGCTATGGGATTACAGCACAAACTTGAGAATTGTGAGCATTTTCCATTACATTTAAGGGAAAATCACTAGACCCTCTGGCATTTGTAAATTATAGGACTGTTTCATAAATGTCACTGTGTCTAGGTTTGATGTTTTCTTTACTGTCTGGGAAATATCAACATACTAATTCCAAGTATTAGTCATGCATTTTAAAGTACTCTGTAATATGAAGACACTGGTTAGATTTATATTCAATTAAATAAGACTATATTGTGTATAAAGCAGCTTCTATTATTTCAGCTCTTTAGTGAAATAATTTTGCACCTTTTGAGTATGTGTCAATGTGGATCCCACTGTAGGTAAGCATGGGCCTCATGTGAATGAGATAAAAATCTCTCTTGAATAATCCTGTGTATCAGGGCACACATTTGTTCTGTGCTTCATCATGTGCCTATGACTGGGCATAAAAGGCAGGGCAGCCTTGACACCTTCTTTGTTACCTCTTGCTGTCCCTGGCAGAGATGGAACCTAATGAATATTCAACCTTCTTGTTAATTTTGCCTACACCCTTCAGAAATCTTCCAAACTCTCATCTTGTTTGCTCTATGAAACCACAACAAATATGACCCATCAGGACTTATTCTTGTCAATTAGACCCCCTCCCTCACCTGTATAGAGTAATGGTTCATCCCCTTCCACTTCATGATGAACTGTAGGTCCTCAGGCTTCAAGACTTGCCCTTTGTGTAATGGGTTAACCCTGTTAGCAGATGTAGATACCTCTTCTGCTTGGGTGAGAGCCATATACCAGACAAAAGCGACAAGGAGTCCTGTGGCACCTTATAGACTAACTGAAGTGTAGGAGCATAAGCTTTCGTGGGCAAAGACCCACTTCATCAGATGCATGTGCACATGCATCTGACGAAGTGGGTCTTTGCCCACGAAAGCTTATGCTCCTACACTTCAGTTAGTCTATAAGGTGCCACAGGACTCCTTGTCGCTTTTGCAGATTCAGACTAACACGGCTACCCCTCTGATACCATATACCAGACAGAAGCTTGCCAGCACTTTGTTCCAGGATTCTCAAGTCCACTGAAGTTCTGCTTACTAGAGCAGTCAATGAGTGTCTTCAGACCTTGAGAAGTCAGGTACCAACTCCAGCCTTGCAGCAGAGTTACTGATAGTACTGCTGATGTGTCCTCTGAGGAGTCTGGACTGATGGCAGAAATGACCCCAGGACCAAGGCAAGAACTAGTGCTGATGTGGACACTAGTACTGATAGCATCATATTTCTTACTGACAATCTTAGAGGAAATCTGTTCTTCCTCCCTGTCACCAGGACGAATAGCCTTACCTTCCGCAAGCAGGGAGCCAGCTCTCTTGGGGCCATGGAAAGACCAAATGGGTCTCCTTATAGGACCTCACCACAACTGCACCAAGACTGGCCATCTTCAGACTAGGGATTTTACTGGAAGCATCACCCTAATTGGACAGGCAGACGGTTGCTCCAGCCCTGTGGGGGTTGGGAGCCGGGAGCAGGAGCCAGCTACCTGCGTACGACGGGTGGAAGCAGGATCTCACTTAATCTGTTAACCAGTTAAACCTAAAGTTTAACCAGTTATCTGATTAACTGGAGTTTTACATGCCTACATCAGACAAGCCAGTAAATTCAGGAGCTGATGCCTGTCCTATTCAGTGTCATCCATGGCCATATTGTTAGCTTTGGGCTAAGAAGAATGTCAGGAATTGCACAGTGTGGAACCAAAGTAGCAATGCCATCCTTCCTTGCCTCACAGGGTATGTCTACACTACAAAGTTAATTCGAACTAACAGACGTTAGTTCGAATTAACTTTGATAGGCACTACACATACAAACCGCTAGTTCGAACTTAATTCGAACTAGCGGAGCGCTTAATTCGAACTAGGTAAACCTCATTCTATGAGGACTAACGCCTAGTT